TTGAACACAAAACATTTTGGCTTGTTTGCTGCTGAGAAGAAAGAATTGTGCCATCACTGCTGGCATTCACGCACTGCTTTGAAAGCAAAGATGTCATAGCTGTATTTTGAAAGCGAGGCGTAGTGGGACATTGCTGTTCGTGTGGAGATAGCTAAGCTTTCCTGTCCTCAGAAATGTAAAAGTAGACTTAAAAATCAGAAGACATGCTAATATGCTTGAAGTTAATCGCTTTTTGCAAAAGTGGGACCCAAATTAATGTATAAATAACTTCAACGAAGACAACAAAACTCCTTTTTGACTCTGAGCTTACAGGAGATCTCATTTTTCTCACTGCCTTTTTAAAACCTAGAAGAAAGTTTTTAAAGGAAAGAAGAGTTCTGGATTTAACTTACCTCATTGTTCACAGAGATGCTAGAAGTGGAAAGACGCATTACAGCAGGTCAGATCTCTCCCTGTCATTCCATTGAAGTGACATATTTCTTTAACTTATCAGGAATGAAAAGCACAGAAAAATCTCTAGACCTTCTTTGTGACAATACTGCCAGTCAGCATCAGTACTGTATTTTATTGAAAGATCTAATAAACTCATAAACTACTGGGGTTTTGAGCTGTAGATGAGGTAGTCTGTACTTTTGTGATCTAATTTATTTTCTTCCTTTTTTCATTTCTAAATAAGGAGAGAGAAAAAAACCTTGGTTAAAAAGACTGAACTGACCGGATCAATTCAAGTGGAGGAAAGATGAGCTCTTATTCGTTTTCCTTACAGTGCTGCCAAAGTCATGGTAGCTACTTCTCTACGTAAAAACACAAGCCTATCCTTTTAGCATGTACTTTTCAGTGACACCTGTTAAACTCAATGCTCACGGAGACAACACTGCAGGAGCAGTTCTAGGCCTTTTCTGATTCGGTACGTTTTAGCGTAGAGTTGCTACACTGAAATTGATCAAGTCTAAAAGTGCTTTCCTCACCTCAGCCTTTACTGGTGAGATTTGCCTTCAGGAATCCCAGGTTCCAGAGGCCAGTGGCAAAGATTGGAGCAATGAAGACTTACCTCAATAGAGTATCAAGTCAGGGAACTTTTATGCAAGATGTCCTGAAAACTGAATTGCTGGCCTTAGAGGGTTGTAATCAGCAACACCAAGTCCAGCTGGAAGCTAGTTGCTAGTGGGATACCCAAAAACCAATACTGTTTAAACTTTTTATTAATTATCTTAATGATGGACAAAAGGCATTCTTAATAATTTTACAGTTATTACAAAATTGGAAGAATTATTTGATAAGGAAGGCTGATGTCGTGCATCAGGTACAGACTGGGTCTTCCTGACACTTCCTGGCTGGAAAGCAGCTCTGCAGAGAAGTGTCTTGTGGCCCTGTCAGACAGATTGAACACAACCATCACTGCAGTGTCACAGCAAGGATGACCAACATCTCCCTGGTCACCAGCAGGTCAACAGAGGTCATCCTTCCCCTCTGCTCTACCCTGGTGAGACTGCATCTGAAGTACTATGTACAGTTTGGGGCTCCCTAGACAGAGACACACTAGAGCAAGTCCCATGGGGGGCCCATAAGATAATTCGGGGACTGAAGCCACGTGGTACTCAAGGAGAGGCTGAGAGAAGTGGAATTGTGTTACCTGGAGAAGAGAAAGCTCAGAATGTAACTTAATAATGTGTATAAATACCTGATGGGGAGGACTGAAGAAGAGCTAGACACTTTTTGGACAGTCTCAGTGAGTTTGAGTCTCAGTGGTGCCCAGCGACTAGACAAGGACACAGTCTGAAATGCAGGAAATCCTGTTTAAACATAAGAAAAATCATTTTTACTGCGAGGGTAGTCAGACACTGGAACAGGTTGCCCATAGGGGTTGTGGAATCTCTGTCTTTAGGGACATGCAAAATGTGACACATCCTGAGCAGCATGCTCTAGCTGTCCTGCTTTGAGCCAGGCTGTTGGAAGAGACAATCTGCAGAGGCCCTGATAACCTCAGCCGTTCGTGATTTCCTACATCCACAAGTCAAAGACAAACCAGTGATATTTTTTAAAAGAGAAAATATGACTGCTCAGTTCCACCTCCCAAACCTGCACTATTCTTTCACTTCTCCATTTCTTTTGAGCCAAAAAACCCTTCTAAAATTGTAAGAAATATTTAAAAGCTGAGGCAAAAAAAATGTTTCCTATTTGTTATCATGATGGCTGATGCAGTGAAAACCAATATGTTCTTATGCTTTCATTCAAAAAATTACTTCCCCAGGCAAATGAAAGACTGAAATTGGCGATGCTGATTTAATTTCTCAGATCTGGCATATAGGCCCACACTTTCAGGATGCCAGCAGTCTGTGACTTTTATTTTAACATGAGGTACATTTTAATTATGTTCTCTCTGGATTTTCTGTTAATTAATCGGAAACATCCAAAGAGTTAATTAAAAACACAAACTTTTTTTGGCTCCATATCAAACCCGACATTACATTCTTTTTATCTACACAACAAGAATTGTTTGTGATCAGATGTCTGAATTATTAATGATAGTTTCCAGTCTTTTTTTTCCTCCTCCTCTGTTCAGTGTAAAAACCTGTAAGCTTTTCTTTCAGTCAAAGTGAAAGCAATATTAAGTCTTGGAAGTGAAACTTACCAAAGACATGTAGCTCTACAAAATCCTTTTCCTGTAATCCTGGCTTTCTATTCGTGGTGTCTCACTTTTTATAGAAGCTTCACAATATCTAAGCAGTTGACGAGATTTATTGGTTATATTCCTGCTCTCTTTCTTCATAAAAAAGCTTTGTCCATCCCTGCACTCCCACAGGAGTAACACTGATGTCTGCGATTGTTTCTGCTAGGATCGCTAATCCAGCAGCTCCTGCAAGATGCTGGGCAGTTGGTAGGGGTGGAAAGCAAGGGGGGAGAAGAATGGCCCTCATTAAGATTTAGGATAGTACGTGTAGTGAGTTTTAAAAGCATTGCTAAGATCCAGTTAAATAATTATGAACTAACGTGGTTGATTGTATAAATAGAAATAGTAACAGGTCATTTTTGAAAGATGCTTTACAAATTAAAGCATGACTGTACTGTGTTGGACCGTTCTAAGGAACTAAACAGAGTTAATTCTGGACATTTTGGAGGCATGACAGTAGAGGAGATAGAAGTTGAATCTGATCTATGCTAATGAGTCCCACATTTCCTATGTGCAGTATTTCTCCAGATGCCTGTAGCAGCTCCATGAATGTTTTCCTTGCAGCCCCTGACTTCATCTGTCATGGTATTTTCTCTTAAATAACCACATTTCTGGATAGATCTGTAAAAGCTTTCTTATTTTTTATTAAGGTTAAAATGACAAAGCACGTTGTTGTTGTTAAGCTCTTTGTCTCTAACCTTTTAAAAGGAAAGTGCTGCCATTAAGGTGAAATTTAAACACACAGAGAATTCATTATGCAAATAGCACACACGCCAGATGATCTGAAGGAAGCCTGCACATTTCCATAGAAAACAAGTGTGAGTGTAGGAAAGCAGATGCTTCCTACCAACAGAGTGTACATACAGTTCTCAAGAGGACCAGAACAGCAATTTATTTTCAGACTGCTGGAAGTATGCAAATTCCTACAGAATTAAATGTGAATTTGAAAGAAATGACATCTATTAAGGACAAGGCAACCCAAAGAGACAATTGGGAACTTAATAATTTAATCAAGAACCTTAAGAGGCTCCTCTGTGTATCCAAAGGCAGTGACTCAAATGTCATCTCACTTTAGCAAGGACATAAGTGGTCCATCGAAACGCATCGCCTGACCACTTGACCTGCTCTTTGGTACAGTCTGTGATACAGCTGTGGTGTATGGTCAGAGCTAGGTTTGCTGTTCCTAATTTTCAGTAGTTCACCCCAGAAGTCTGAGTTGGTTTCTGTCCTGACACACACGTTACACCACATTTATTAATTAAATTCTTTCTGCTGGACATTTTTCCCCCTGACCTAGATGAAACTAGGTGGAATGAGATGGATGTTACTGAGGCTATAGCCTAAAGGCAGGGGAATGGTGCTAAGTGCAGTGGCATGATTTGCACAGGGGCTGTTATTGGTGAGCCATCAGCCAGCTGCATGAACATGGGGAGTTTTTTTTTTCTCCTTTCTACTAAAGTACAGTATTACTGGAGTGACAACAGAAGCACATGGGATGGAAGAACTCAGTTGCCAGCCAGCGCTGCCCCAGCTTGTCCTCTTCATCTTTGCAGAGCCCGACTGTTCAGTTCAGCCTGCTGCTTTTCTATCTCTTTGCTTTTCCATTTAATGGCTCCATTTGCACACAGAGATAGCCAGCTGGGGTCAGGGAGGGCAGGAGATGTTGGTTTAGTGGAAGTGCCGCATTGTATTTAGTACAGATTTTGACTCAACATATAAGGTCAAATATCTCCATTTAGATGTGCTGGAAGTGACACGTTTTCAGTCCTTTTGAACTCCGTCAAAAGACAATGAAGGTCACTGGGTATAACTAAGAAATTAAGCATTCATATATGACAAGGTTTGGTCAGGGCTCTCATGGCAAGAAACCCCCTGTACAAGTGCCATCAGAGCCCCATGTGCCAGCACAGTTCAGTAAGCAGAATGAGAGGCTGGGTTGTCTCATATGCTTCTCACGCACCCCTAGTGAGTTTACTAGGTAAGTAGATATATTGCTACCTCATTGCAGAGCAGAAATTATTGAAGTGAGGGCTAAAATGAGTATGGTCAGCGGGGAAACACTATGGTCACATGGGTGAGATTGCCAAGGAAGGTCGTTTCCACTAGGAGAATACTCAGCCCCCTGGGTAACTCTGGTTGGTGCAGTGCCCGTGTTTTAAAAACACATATGACTGCATCATGTCTGTAAAGTCACAGGTGTGTAATGTTCTTGCTCCCCGTGGATTGGGCATATTGGATTTCAAAAATGTTCATTTTCTGTCCCATTTTCTACCGGTTGAGGCTCATCCCCTTTCTTACACTGAGTAACATAATTTTTTTCTTCACACAGGTTGTAATCCTTGGCAAACATTCCAGAGGCTATCACTACATGTTAGCAAACCTGGTAAGAACTTTTTTCTTCATTACAAGTATAGCTAAGGTTGGGAGGGTAATATATTCTGTTCAGGTTGTGTCAACTTTAATCAGCAGTAGAGAAAATGCCTGAGTGAGTTCTTGGATTATGAGAAATGACTTCAGTAAATACTGGGACTGGTAGGTTATAGTCATTTGTAGTCAATTATGGTCTGCATTTCATCTAAGCAGCTAATATCCTCCACTAATTTTAAAGTAATGATTTAATTATGTGTTTTCCACTAATTTCTGTCCTCATAAATAAGACACTTGGTAACCATAATCTTCTATGTAACATATTTGAAATTTAGCACTCTAGGAAAAATAATTGTAGGATATTTATGTATAAAATAAGTGATGAAAAGCTGCAAATTAAAACAATAATTCCACCAAATGAAATGGCCAGACTGTTCAGCCATTCGTTTTTATTGCAGAGTGTGGGTTGGTGACAGCATGTGTACTGACCTACCAGGATAAAACAAGACATTTTTATCTGTATCAGGACTACTTCTGGAATCTAAAATTGGCTTTCAGGAGTGTATGTGATGGCTTGGAAACTGAATCCACTAGAGTTCCTTTGAATAAGTGTCATATTGTAGTTGATCCTTGCAGAATCTAGTTTTGGTTTCTGTGTCTGCTGTGAGCAGAAAAATGTTCTCCCAAAGATCACACTTTGAAGGTAGAGTGTTCTCCAAATTCATGTTTTGGTCTGATTAAAACAGAAGACAAATTTAAAAATATCCTTACTTAATATGAGTCCTGTACAACTTCAGAATGTGCCATTTGCTTTATGAGGATCAGTCGTGATCTGACTGATTAGACTGTAGAGTGTGCATAGAAATACGTGAGTCCTTACTCTGAGTTGCCTTTTAGCATGTGTAAGCATTGGCATTCAAGTAAACATGACTGCAATCAAGTCACGCTAATCAAAAAGACACCAATTTACTGCCACGGGTATAAATAACAAGAGAGTGGGAGAGATTCCTACCATTGTGTTTGAAAGCAAAATGTTAAGCGGTGCTCTGACTGAAGGCTGCCTAGCCAGGAGCTTTGTGCTCGCCTCCACAGAACAGTGTGGCTCTGCAGTGGCTTTCTGTTCCCAACACTAAAGCTTTGCACACTTTGCTCTTCAAATGGAAGTGAGATGTTGGACAGATTTGCACCACGACAAGGAGAAGAGGAAGAGGTGTTTCAGGGCTTCCCTGCTGTTTTCTTTCTGACCAGTGGATGTTACGTGCACACAGCGGTAACACAACAGGGCAGTTTTCCATTGCAAAGGTCTAAACCTTAAGACATTTACAAATTCTGCTATCACAATCCCAACTGCTACTATCATAGTAATGGTAGAATGTTTTCAGCTAACAAGAACAAAATTCAGTGGTTTATTTTGTGCCATATTTCTAGCAGGTAAAACCGAGACAAAGAAAAGGTGGTTTAGATGGCAACAATTTTTGTTTTTTATGTGTCCTCCCAGGGTTTCACAGACATTGTGCTGGAGAGGGTGATGCATGGAGGTGCCAATGTTACTGGATTCCAGATAGTTAATAATGAAAACCCAATGGTTCAGCAGTTTCTACAGCGCTGGGTGAGGCTCGATGAAAGAGAATTCCCAGAAGCCAAAAACTCACCATTAAAGGTATTTTATTTTATTCTGACAATGGTGGAGATTAAATGAGTTACTTTAAAGCAATTATTTGTTATTTAACAATCATATTAGTCCTCCAATACATAGCATGTTTGTATAAAAAATAAAATAATCAGCTATTTTCCAGAGATGCATCATTCTGTAAGGTAAATGATGCTAGAAACTGCTCTCTAGTCCAGCCACCAAGAAAGATGGCATGGCCAAGCCCAAACTACCTTAGATGTTAAACTACCTTAACATCTTTAAAAGGTGGCAGCACCCCTTCTATTCATTGGTAGGTCCCATCTCATGCCTGGGGACTGGTGGCATAGAGGCTGAGCTGCACCCCAACTATTCCAGGATGGTTCTGATCACCAAACAACTGCAGACAGTTGAGTGTGACTGCCTTCACCCATGTCTTGGCAGAGTTTAGTTCTCTAATCACATATAGACACAAATCAAATGTGTGCTCAGACGGGGTCAGGAAGCACTCAGCTGAATTGGCATTCAAGATGACTTGTAATAAACACAGGGAAAAATACCATAAGTGGTGCTAAGTACAGTAATATGTATGTTGGGAGATAAAGGGGCCTCTTTCACAGTGCGTTTAAATGCAGTGGGTTTAACAGACATACCAGGGATAGTCTATTCAGGGTGGCCCTAATTCAGAAGAAAGGAGTGGTCTAGGCACTTCACTGCAATTTCTTCCATCCCTGAGATCACGTGATTTCTTTGGAGAAGGAAAATTATCTCATGCCATCCCACGGCCTTGCTGGCATTTCAGAGAAAGCAAGGAAAGGCAAACAGGGCTTGGCTCCATGTGTTCTTCCCTGTTGATTACAAACTACTCCCTCTTTCTAAAGCTTCCTAGGAGCGAGGCAGAAGTGAAGATAAGTGTTGTACTAACCTTAAAAGCTCTGAAAGATAGGAAGTTAACCTGGGAATATTTTGTTCCACTTGAAAGCAATTTACCTTGAGGGAAAAATTATTCTCTATCCTTGAAAAATAATCTTAAGTGTATCATACAAACATAGAGAATGTATTACCTTTCCACAAATTATAGAAATGTGCACAATATTTGTCAATCAGACAAAAAGCATACTTAAAAATTGATGTACAATATTTCTGATTAGGAAATAAAATTGCCTAGAGATTAAAGCCCTGATGTTTAATTTATTCCGTATTTTATCAGCCTTTCCCTTCCCTCTCTCTTTTTTTTTTCTTTGCGTGTTCATGCATTTATAAGCAGAATTCAAATAAAGTAGAAAATTAGATAGCTCTCTTGGCATGACTTGGAAGGGATTGCATTAAGGTTACTGACAATTGAAGCGTTCTGCTGAAAAAAATTATCACTGTAAATTCTATGTAGTGCTAGATTGGACAGCTATTACGAATTTATTTTTTTTAACACAAGAACAAATGCCTGATAAAATTAATACCACATCCTATGTTCTGTGGAATGTGATATAATCTTTGTTAACTAACAAGTCAGTTAAGAGGAGCGAGTGAGCGCTGCAAGATTACAGCAAGAGGTAAAAGTGGGCAGGATCAAAAAATGCCCGTGCCTTGGCACAGTCAGAGCAGGAACACCACACACACCAAATGAAAGTTTATAAACTGCTGTCATTTAAAACTCAGTAAGAGAGGTTGCTGTATAACCTTCACAGTGCTACCTTTGCACTCCTTTTTCGTTTTGATCTGCACATGCAGGCATGCCTTGTTCTGTGCAGACTTCCTAAGGCTTTGCATCAAATTTGCAATAAGATGATACGCATTTCTAAGAAATACAGACAACCAATCGTGCTGTTCTGCCCTACAGGACATGCCTCTCCATTCTCATACAAAATAGTGGAAATGCAAAGGGTCACTTAGTTACAAGGAATTTGAAATCTGTTCTTCTAGACTGAGCACATTCAATTGCTGCCAGTGTGCACATGTTGAAATGGTTTCCCCTGAATTGCACAGACCCATAAATTACAGGTGTGCAGACTGACAGTGAAAACCAGCAATGTTATGTATAGAACCTTCCTTCCACCCTAGGAGGGAAGAACTTTCAGACAAGCACAGGAACATGGCAGAAATGTTAAAAAAAAAAAGTGATATTTTTGTAGGTAATACATTGGGAGATGTCACCAGATACATGCATCAAGCAATGGATGAAGTTGACAGCAGCATGAACAATTCATTAAGGACTCCCAGGGTTTTGTTGAGGACTTGTTGCTACACAAAGCTTATCACCTTCCTCAGATTTACAGTGGTGTGAGAGAAGGCAGATGGGCAATTACCAAGGAGATATAATGCCTTACGTGTGTTTTATGATTGCTAGCTTGTATAGCTGTCTACTAAAAATGTTAACTGATCTATTCCTGGCCACAGATGCTACCTAATCAGTACTATGGTCCAAACAGAAATGATTTATATTAGCTTCAATTCAAAACCATCCTGGCAATCCTGTTGTAAAGAAAAAAAATTACTTCAAGAAATAAACAAATATGAGCTCTTGCTATCAGTAGCAACAGGGGCCAGCATGGAATTGCCAATTCTTGTAGTGACGTCATTTAGATGAACAAGCTTCCAGTTGAAATTATACTTTATGCAACTATAAACTTGTTCTATTATTTTAATCCTTATTGTTACTATTTATTTTATTTTTATTATTTATTGTTATTATTTACTTCAATTAGTCACTTGAAATAAATGGATTTGTTAAAAAAAAAGCATCTGTGGCAAGAGAGACGGAGAGCAAGCAAAAGGGCTTCTGAGCATGATTCTTATAAGAGTATATTAAAGATAGAAGGACAAGACCTTATGATAAACCTAGGGTGACTCTAAGATTACTGTCTGTCATCGTGTTTTATTTGCATCAATTTTAGTATACATCTGCCCTGACCCATGATGCAGTCCTAGTCATAGCAGAGGCTTTCCGTTACCTCCGAAGGCAACGTGTGGATGTCTCCAGGAGAGGTAGTGCTGGGGACTGCCTGGCCAACCCTGCAGTACCGTGGAGCCAAGGAATTGATATAGAAAGAGCGCTGAAAATGGTAAGGGCAAAAATACTGTGGCTATTGGATGTGTATATTTCATGACAGCAGCAACTCTACTGGGGCAGAGCTACTCCATATACAGTTTCTGCACACAAGAACAACAGCTGCTTCTCAGGACAAAACAAAAGAAGCAAAACCAAACTTTATGACAAACTCCAAAGGATGGCTAGGACGTATTCAGTAGCAAGCAAGCCATAACTAGTTAGTTATCAAGAGTTGGCCAAAGTCACATCCCTTTAGGACCAGTGTAACCCCGGAGCATCTATAGTCTGACTTTTCCAAGAGCTTCTGCCACCCACAGGAATGAGCATGAGCCAGTTTGCCATGTACTGAGGGTTTCTAAAGTCAAGCTCAGGCTGCAAAGATGACGAGCAAAACCAGACTGGATCTTCAGCACGTATATTGTACATCATGCAGGGATACGTATATTTATTAGCTTGAAGACACGTATGTAATTTTTTTTGTAGACATAAGAGACAAGAATAGAGTGTGCTTTTGATCTGGCTCAAGTAACTGTAAAAATAGTCGGATAACTAAGTAACTGTAAAAATTTAGGCATGGAACTGAAGTGAGTGAGATCAGAACTAAGCCCCTGGGTCAGACCTCTTAATTTACTGTTGGCTTTTTTGTCGCCAAAGTGAAAAGATTATATCCAAAGGTTTATTCTTCCCCTCATTCGCTTAAGGAGAGACAATTCAGTCTCATTGTCAGAGCTATTCTTATGCCATTAGGTCGCACCCTAATGAATGCACTACCTGCATGTTCACTCATGTAGCATTGCCTTCATTTGAGGAGATGTTAACTGAACTTAATCTTCATAATAGTTAAAGAATTTGTACTGTCTATTTGAACTTTATTGTAAGTGAAACGTAAAACCTCTCTGAATGAGATACAAAGTGTTAATATCAAGAAAGAACATGAACACTGCAATAGGACACTATGTCATATAGAGAATATATTTGAAAAAATGTCAATCACGGGATATACAAAGCCCAGATCACAACTGGCACAAAAGTAGGTGTCAAACTTCCAGCAGGCTGTAAATGAGGTTCATGTCATTTTCTTCAACCACTGCAGATCATCCCACAGTAGCAGTGCCTGTTGGCCCCCACTCCATTCATCAGTCTCCTCTGGTCAGAAAAAAATTTCATCAGGAAAAAAATAACAATTTCTCCTCTCTGCTCCATAACAGCAACTCAACAATATTTTTTCAAGACCTCCCAGAAGTATCCTTATGCCAGCAAAAGATGCAGTGTCACACTACAGTTGTCCTGCTGGCAAAAGGGAAATAGGCATTACCTGACTGCTTCCCTACAGCCTCGAAAGCTCTGCATGTCTGTATTTCTAAATGTAAGGCACCAGATAAGTGACAGACAGTTTACCTGAGCAGATCTGGGCAGTTATAAATAGTCACTTAATTTGTAATTGCCTCTGCACACTGCTACCAGACACGTTCTGAGTCCTGGTGAGTCTTCCTGCCTCTCTGCAGCCAGATTTCGAGAAGTGCTGAGTTTTCCCACCAAAGATAGAAACAAATTAAATTTGAAGTCAAAAGGTGTCAAATGCACAATGCTCACATCTCAATACAGCTCAGGATGAACCAGACCTAACAAGCTCTGCTGAGACATATCTTGTGCTAGGGTAGTCAGACATCTTCTAGCAAGTGCCAAAAGCAGGCACAGCAGCTCACATCTGGCTGCAGATTATATGTCAACTACTCTACAAATGCTCAGTCCACAGTTGATAAAACCTCTTTGGAACACATTTGGCTTTCAAAGCCTGGTGCACACCTCTAGCTTTCTGGAGACAGGAAAAGCTCGCATATTCTTCCAGATTCTTGAAAACATGAGCTGCTAAAAGGGTTCAAATCCACTAACTAACAAAAAAAAATCATACTACTTATATGTCATTCTCAGTTTGGCTCACTGGATAATTTGGGGCCAAAGGAATTTTAACTTTTTTATGTAGCCTTTCTCTGTCCATCATAAGAAGTTTAATTGTACCATCTCTAAAGCATAATGAACAGCTCAGTAACCAGCTCTGAACATCTTCAGGGACTGTGGTTTCACAGTTTCCCTTTGACAAGTTTTCCACCACACATTTGTGTAGCTTCTGAAGCATTCTGCTGAATATGGAAGCTAATTTACTCCTACTGCAGTTTCAGACTGTTACCCATCCTGCCTAAGATGAGAGTGTGCCAGTGTCAATAAGTGATAAATGGAAATACCTCACACTTTCATACAGGGAAATAAGAAAGTTTTTTTTTTCTTTGAGACAAATTACTTCATACTTCCCTTTAAAGTGATTCATGTGAGTACGTAATGATAATGACTTACTGTCTATCCACCCATCCATCCAGATTGAGACCAAAACCCCATAAGCAGTAGAGACAATTGTCTATGTTCATTCAAATACATTCATTCCTTTCTCCTACGCTGGGACTGATCTTAAAATAAAGCACTTCTCAGAATGAGAAACGACATGAAATTCTGGTCCATATCACAAATCACTCCATGCCATATTGCGAGGGCTTTAATAGCATTGAATTGTTGCAGGTAACTCACTGATACCCCCTTCTACATCAGTGTGACTAAGCGTGGCAGAATCAGTCTTTCTTATATTTAACATGCATGCAGGGCTAATTTCACTTACTTACACTTAAGTGCAACTCGCTCTGCAGTGGTGAGTCACCAGCAGAGCACTAACTAACAAAGGATATGTATGGCTGAAACTGAGAGAATTGGTTTTTTTTTTATTATTATGAAGAATACCCCTGTCTGTCAGAAGTGCTACAGGTTTCTTATACGGATAAAAATTGTGCTGCAGCTAGTGAGTTCCTGCAAAATGTAACAGAGGAAAATATAGAGTGAATCTATTATTAATATTTTTTTTCTATTTTTTGCCTTAAGGTGCAAGTCCAAGGAATGACAGGGAATATCCAGTTTGATACTTACGGGCGGAGAACAAATTACACAATTGATGTGTATGAAATGAAAGCTTCTGGATCAAGAAAGGTCAGTTTCAAGATATACATTCAGATTTCATACCTTCAGAAATAATATTTCTGATAATACTATTCCAGCAAACTAATGGAACTCAATAATGCTGCACAGCCACTGCAAAAACAAGACCCAGAGGAATCCCTGCCTTCTTGCTGTCTTCCCTATCCCAGGAACCTTCTTCTATTCTGTTTCTGAAACATATCACTCATCCTATTTAATATCTTCATTGGTTTCCATTTCAAGTTCAAACCCCACTTCTTCTATTAGAAGCCACCTTGAGCTTTTATGCTGAGCATTGTGCCTGCTGTCATGTCCCTGTGTTCAGCCCAACCTCCTAAATTCCTCTCCATCTTTCCCTTCTCCATAAGAGGCCTCAGAGCAATAGTGAAACTGGAATGAGTGAGTTTTAGAAACCTTCTGAAATTAACAGAAGATAATTTGGGTTTTAATTGGGATTTTCACTGCTTGTTCTCTTGTCTCCTAAATAAAGTATAGATGCTAAGAGGCGTGACTGCCTTTTATAAAAGCAATTTAGGGCAAATTTTCAAAAATAATTAGGTAGGCAGGTTCTCAGGGGTGTTGAGTGATGAGTCTGAGTAGATGAGACACATCATCTCCCTGATTTCAGAGATAGTAAGTACCTAACGCGTTTAGTCACCAGTGCAACTCTGTAAACTCTTCTGCACTTATTTGATAACAAAATACCCCTGGACACGACCCAGCCACTCAGCTAGGTTTACAGCACGTCTGTGCAGAAATAGAAAAACTGGTGTAGTGATAGCATAGCAACACAGCCACGGCACCATGAAGGTCAGCACAAGCCAGCTGACAAACAGTCACCTCATAGTCAGAGGGTTTTGTAATCCACGTTGAGGATTATGCTGTTGTGCCTGCATTGCTAACAGTGTCTGTGCCTCTGCTCTAAAGCTCGCTCAGACACGTCTGCAGGTGCTGTCCTCACTGCCTGAACTACAGCAGAATACTGATAAAAAATTCAAACCTGGATCATTTGACTCAAAGTGCTTTGCAGTGTTTTCTCGTCTTTTATGCTGTGGATACAGAGGAGTTTATTCCACAGTGTGAATTTAGACACTGAGAATTCAGTATGTATTTTCACTTCGATGTGGCTTGTATCTATTAAAGCTAATGCAACCCTGACTAAATGTTACAAAACCATACGTTTTGACTGTTCTTGTTAATATACGTACACATATATATATATGTTAACAATATCCCTTTTTATAGGCTGGTTATTGGAATGAATATGAAAGATTTGTGCCAACATTAGATCAGCTGCCCTCTAATGACACTTCATCTGTGGAGAACAGAACCATAGTAGTCACTACCATCCTGGTAAGTTTAATGTTCTTAGTGTGTTTGTGTTTAGGAAATAAGATGCACGGCTCCTAAGATGCGTTAAACACCTTGTCAGGAGTCTGGTGTTGAATACTGTGTTACTTCAAGTGACTGAAAAGTTCAGTATCTGCCTGAGATTTGTTGAAGGCTTGACACTGCAAGCTTCTATGCATATCCTGGAGTTTACTCACAGGAATCCCACTGAGCTCAACATTGTGCTTTCCTGCTTCTCAGACACTTGAATGCCATCAAATGGCTCACATAAGTGAAGTTATGCATGTATATGACTGCTGGCAGGATCTGGCCTTCCTGCTGTAGGGTCAAATCTTGCACCCCTCACTCAGGTACGGCTTCTGTAAACTCAACCCCTGTGGACTGAGGAAGGGTGGTACAGTGAAGCCTGTAGAGAACTGGAAATGCTCTAGCACTGGGATTAAAGCTATGTATACGCATGAAATTCCAAAGGAGTAAAGCTCTTCATGTGTTTCATAAACAGCAATACCTGTGTTAGTCCCATTGCTTCTAGCAAATGTGTTCTGTGTAGTATTGTTTGTAACTTTTATGTCTGTTACGATTCTACAAAGCATGATCCAATTTTATGCTCTTTCCTGAAGCATTGTGTTTTATACTCCTATGAAGTTAGCATGATACAATCAGCATTTCAGCCAGAATTTTCCAAGGTGGCTAAGGGAATTCAGTGGGGAAAAAAAAAATGCTGCTGAGGATTTTAGCCTAGCTTTCTTTAGGCTGTTTTGAAAATATCCCCATCCTAGGCCATGGGGGACTTAGCAAATAATTTTGCTGCTGCAAGTGTTGGGTATGTTCTATAAACACTAAAAGCTGAATTATTACTACAGTGATGCTATTTGACTGTCTAATAACCTAAAAAATGAGCCCTAAGCCTGGGGACAATAGTGCAACTTTGTTAAAGTGGAATAGTCCTGTTGTCTTCAATGGGTCTGTACTAGGAGTAAAATCTATAGTATGTTTGACTGTAGGATCATGCCAAGGATTTTTAAAGTGTGAAAGTCTGTCTGCCTAATTTCTGTACCAAAGTAGGAAATACTGTAAATACTTGCCATTAATATAAAGTAAGGATCGTAACATCTCTCATTTTGTATGTTTTAAAGCTGTGTTTTACATTCATAGACTTTTGATCTTTACTTTTGTTTCAAAGGAATCACCATATGTAATGTATAAGAAAAACCATGAACAACTAGAAGGGAATGAGAGATATGAAGGATATTGTGTAGACTTAGCTTCTGAAATAGCAAAACATGTTGGAATAAAATACAAACTGTCAATTGTTGGAGATGGGAAATATGGAGCTAGGGACCCTGAGACTAAGATATGGAATGGCATGGTGGGTGAACTGGTCTATGGGGTAAGTTTCTCTTAACCTTCATTTTCATGTTCTTTATTATGAAAAGTTATGCTCGAAGTTAATAAACTGCAAAATAAAGATAATCTGTTTGAATACCACTTTTAAAATTCTAGATATTTCTTTGTAATGCCATTTTTATAGCCTAGCTTTCTAATCATGTCATTAAAAGCAAGTGTCACTTTTTTATCACTGTTCTCCAAATCAGATTCCACAAAACATAGAAATTTGCATTGGGAAAATTTCAAATTTCTTATCTACAGCAGATTTTCTAGTTTTCCCTTCATGTACTGCTCTTGTTCTTGCCACATCTTCTTTTTCTCGATCAGTCCTGTGAGTGATAAGGGCTGCCCCCAGCATTAAAGGTGTGATCTTACGATGCTGAGCCTTGTTAGATCACTGAGATCAGTTTTTGTTTGATCAGAGACCAAAGGCTCAGCACCATGCTTGCTTTTTAGCATAAGAGGCAAGACAGGCCTGAAACCACCCACAATTTTTTCTCTTTAAAAATCAACTGTCAGACACACACAAAAAATCTAATTCATTATACTCCTCTCTATATTCCAATATTGGGTGTATATTGCTTTCTTTAGTAAGAAGAAAAACAGTCTGGAATTGCCATTTTAGAAACTTCTTTGAAAATGCGAATTTTGGAATGCTGATACAATAAGCCAGATGGAAGGGGGAGAAAGTTGGCTTTGCAGAAAAGACTTTACAAGCTGATATTTCATCTTTGCTTTTTTTTCCCCCAAATGCTAATGAGATGATTTGTGATTCCACCCAAATCCTCCTTACAGTTTATTTTTAACAAGCTTTCCTTTATTAAAAATATCTGTATAGAAGTGAATGTTTCCATTACATCCTTTTGTTCCCTTGATGAGTGTAGTTTCTAAAAGTCACCTCAAAATTTCCCTACGATAACATCATATCATCATCTCTTGCAAAATGTGTGGTGAGATAACTCTTTTCAAATGAATTGATCTTTTTTAAAAGTAGTTGCTAGGTTTCCAAATTTTTTTTTTCCTCTGGAGCCCTAATCCTTTATTACATACTTTCTAGCCTATTTGACTTCAAATATTTTATGTGAATGACAGTGATTTTATGGTGTTGCGTTAATGGGAGGGAGGGAAATCTATTGTTGACCATAAACAGGGCTCTGGATCCTGGGGTTGTATCTTTGCTTTCCTATTGCGTTGAAGTTTGACATTATCCAAATCTTTGAACATCCAGTGTCTCAGTTCTGTGATTTGGGAAAACTGTTTCCTTTCTTGGAAGTACAGTAAGAACATCTGAAGGAAAGGCTTAGTTTAGTTTCAGGCATAATTGCATTGCAATGAAAACCTAAACCCTCGATTTCCCAGTGTGTGGTTCAAGAAATATCAAGAGTATTAGCCATAATTGGGTCCTTTTGATATATTTGCAAGTGACAAGCAATGAAACAGTTTATGCACTTAAAAGAAAAATCATATCATACACTAAAGACATGACAAAGGGAATCTAAAATTACTTCTAACAGCCAGGGCAAAAGGACCATCTACGCCAGAGGAAGAAAGGTGCAATAAGGGCCACTGCTTCTGGGATGGGAGCCAAGTAGGATTAGCCCATGCAGCTGCTGAGCAGTGCAAGATCCATCTGTATGAAGGGCCACCTGAACCCAGTCTTTGCTTGGATAAGCAGGCTCCCTACTGAAGCCTCTTCTCTAGCTCCCTGGGATGAGCCTAACTCAGAGCTTGCCTCCTGAGCATCAGACTGAGACCTCTGGCCCGGCCGTGCCTGTCACCTGCCCACACCTGTGAAGTACAGCTTTACAGGCACTGCTGACCATACTTCAGAACAACCCCAAATCTGCCCAAGGTGGTCATTTCCCCACAAAAAGATCTGCTCCATTCAATTCTGACACAGTTTTCACCCATGCTTTCTCAGTAATGAAAATTTGAGGATTGTTTCCCTCCCTGGCCCCCAACAGCTCCTCCTCGCACACTGTGAGCTCAGTTACTGAAGCCTCTTAACCACAATACTCAATTATTCAAAGGTCAGATGCATCCCTTGAGGTTTGACTGCAGACCTGGGTTAATGCTGATGGCTCCACGCTGCTGAGCAAGCTCCCATCCTGCTGAGCTGAGCAGCCAAGCTGGAGAACTGTGTGCAGAAATCCACCTGGCTTTCTGCTAGCAGGGAAGCAGCCCCTGGCCTCTGAGCACAGACCTCAGGAGCCCCTCAGGCACTTTCCCAGTCCTGTTTGCTGAGATCATGAGATACCCTTGGCCCTTTCCTCCAGTTGTTGAAAGAGGGCAGTGTACAAGGATGTGCAAAAAGCCCTTTGAGAAGGAAGAGTACTCTAGATGTGCTAATTATTAGGAGCAACTGTCTCATTTACGTGCTGACTTCCCTTTATCTCTCCAGGGCTTAAAACTCTATTAGGGATCTAAAACTGTACATTTCCCCTAATGCCCTTGTGAGCCCTGTCTGCAAAATGACTGTCATATTTGGCTCTTCCAGATTCCATTTTGGGAAGACAAGAGGGAGATTAGATTTTAAATGCGTTTATTAGCATGTATAGAAGATAGACATGGGGGAATCAAAGGGGCCTGATTGGTTTTGGTACCAGTTACCCAGCAGCTGAACTGAGCTGTGGCAGAAAACAATCTTTTAGATTGCATTTGTCTCAAGTGTTTCATCTGTCAAACGCAGAACATTCCTGGCCCGAGAAGCATGCCACTGCCACCCACACTGCTGGGAAGTCTTACCAAGTATTTTTTAAACTGCACTCTTTCTTTGCATAGACTCATGTGTGCAACCCTTTTCTAAAAGTGCTCTTAGCACAGCCATAGGAAGTGAATGGCTTGGAACTTTAATGCCAAAACCCTAATTAACTGTAATAAATGTTTAGTTTGTGCCAGTTCTTTATTGCCATTACTCCTGCTTCCTGTGGGATGCAGCATGCAGCCAGGAAGGTGCAGCCAGGTCCTCACAGCCTCCAGAGCCTACACAGGAGGGGTCTGAGTAGGGAAGATGTGGGGAAGGAGATGAGGAATGATGTAGTCCAGCGCTGCAGGCCCAGGTGACCAGCACAGTCCTGACCAGAGTGCAGGGCCAGCCTGAGCTCAGCACCAATGTGGCTAACTAGGGCAGTCCCAGGAGCACACATCACGTGGGACAAGCACACTAAAGCACTTTCCACTGGAGACTTTCTTCCTCCCCTGTCCCCTGTAGTACTTCAGCGCTGGCTGGAGGGCACAAAGGCCTCCTGTGCTGTCAGCCAGGTCGACCTCAGCTGGCCCTGCTTGGACCTTTTGGTGTTGCTTTGCACCAGGCTGTGTGATAATCTGGCTGCAGTGCAGGACTTGATCTTGGCAGCATAGAGGTGGCAGCCCCAGATGCAGGGAGTGCTGGCCAAGCAGGTGTCCCCAAATGGCTTTGCTTCCTACCCAGAGCCCAGAAGTCCTGACAGAGATGAGCTAGGTTTTGATTTGTTAGCAATTACTAAAATGAAAATTGGTCAAGTTTTGATAAATTAAAAAATGTCATTTTAGGTGGAACAAAACCTTAATTTTGATCGTTTCCTGGTATCAAAATAAAACTTTACCTTCTACCATAAAAATGCAAATGTAATGCA